AGTGTGTTTACTTCTTTATTATTATTATTATTATTGGACGCTTGGTTTATTGATTTGTTGTTTTTATTTTTGTTGATTTTGGCAAATACGGATTATCGAGTTATCACGCTAGCCCAGGGCGGCTGTGTCACGTGTGTGTGTTGCACGCCCGCCGCTGCAGCGCCCTCTCCGGATTTCGGGGTTATTATTCGGATTTTTACTCAGTAACGAGGACGTGTTCCGCGATGGTGGCTGTTGTGCGGGCCATAGAATTTATTTGAGAAAACATTAGGGGTAAAAAACGATAACGCCCTTTTGTGGCTTTCACTAAATAAATTTAGGACGTGTGCGTTGCTGGTCGATGAGGAAGGGCGCGGGGCCACTGCTGCTGCGCACCACAGCCACCCATCGGACTCCGCAACGGCATTTTCGCTGTTTTTTGTGCATTGTTTCTATTTTGTCCATATGCCTGCAATGCCTTTCTCGTTCCACGATGACTGTGTGGGAGGGCATGCCTGTCAGTTTTTATGCTTCTGGTGTTGTGTAGAAGGAACGAGAGGAAGAACGAAGAATTATGCGGAATGATGTGTTGCCTTGCGTATATGTTGATGTATTTCTGTGGGGTATTTCATTACTTACACCTTCCTTTTTCTTTTTTTTCTTTTACGTCGCTCCACACGTGTCTCAGTGTTTGCTTTAGGACGGCCACACACGGGTAGCTTGAGTCGCGGGTATATATATATATATATATATTGATGTCATTTTGTGTTGGGCAATAACGTGGGCACTTTTTTTAGGCATCCACTCTCCACAGCATGCTGCCTGTTATTTTGGATTCGTTCCAGATGTAACGCAACCACCGCTGTGGCACTCATGGGAAGTAAGATGGGACGCGGGGCAGCGAAAGATATTGCGCGGCACATGTGTCTGCTGCATTTGTTCTGTTGGGGAGGTTTCAATGTGGAAGGAGAGGGATGAACATTGCACGATTCCGAGGCTCGGAGGAGTTATTGCCCTGCCCCTCTTTTATTATTATTTTGTATGATCTCTGGCTTCCACCCGTGTTTGCCTCGATTGCTTTCCCTGAGTGGAGCTGCGCCATGGCCATCCTTTTTTTGTTGTTTGCGGGAGGAAAAACACATTGCGAGCGACGAAACCACACGTCATGTATGCGGCGTCCGGGGAGGTACGTATTTGAGGCGGAGTGCACATATGTGGATGTCATGTGGGACGAAGCGGGGGTTGAGTGCCCAACCGTCACTCCTTTCTGGAGAGTGTGCTCCCCTTTTTTGATGTTGCCCTTTTGTGTCGGGGCACGGCGGGATTGGGCAGCACCGTCCCACGAAAGGCCCTGCGCACATGCACACTCTCATGCCACTGTCGCCCCCCGGATCGGGTGTAAAACTCAAATTTCAGCTTTTTGCATTGACGCAATTATTTTTATTATTAACTGACGCCATCCTTTTCCGCGTGTCATTT